GTGGTAGAGATGATGAATGAGGATGGCACAGGATAAGACAGGGTTCAGAGCTGGTGTACATGAGGTCGCTACTCAATGAAGCCTACTCAATGTCACCTAACAACAGACAGAGTCTCTCAAAAGTGAATTGCCAAGCCTTCTTCTGCGGTCCCTGCGGGCGGACTCAAACCCCCAACCTTGCACTTAGCAGTCAAGTTGGTTAATCATTCTCATCACCTTTGGATACCTGGGAACATTGTTTATGTACATGAATTTGGAATCTGCATCCCCGTCCCCAGCTGGTTCCAGAATTGCCTGGGGGCCACAAGACCCCAACAATTTGGTGCTGTCCGCCTCTGACTACTCCTTCCCACCTCTAATTCGTCAGCTCCCCAACCCTCGTTTCCTCTGGGCTCTTCCTGGAACAGGCAAGACACACTTTCCACTCTGCCTACAAGTATCTTCCATAGACACTGGCCTCCAAAGTCATGTTTTCCGCGAGGGCTTCCCTGGCCGTCCAGTTTAAGACTGAACCCCACCTTCTACCCCACTTTGGGCCTTACATTTCTGCTTTCATTCTTGTTCCATGTAATAGACTCCAGTTCACAGAATAATCTTGCATATTACCCACTAGAACAGAAAGCTGTGTGAATGAGTAGGATTTTGATGTTTTTACCACCTTGTCCACTGTTCCAACCCCAGTATCTGGAACCGCATCAAATAGCAACCAAAAATCCATGTTCGTTGAAGCAGTTCCCACTCCTGGGGAATAAAGACAGGCCCTCAGGAAAAAAGGATTGTATCAGGAATGCATGAGAGGACAACTTGTCAATTTCTCCCAGACCCTGTTTGTTAGATCTTTAAGAACAGGGGACCCTCTGAGGTAGGGTCCCCAGTATCCAGGTCCTTATATCCTAAGGTCCAGCCAGCAAATGGAAGAATCTTCTAGGCCACCCCCTTCCCATTAATCAGGTGAGGAAACTGAGGCCAGGAGAGGAAAGAACTAGCCCTAGGTCAAGGTCAAAGGACTTGCCCTAGGTCAAAGTTCAAGGTGTGCACTACTGTTGTTATTAATAAGTATTGAGTGCCATGAAGTCAACACTGATTTCCAGCTGACCCTCCATGAGGTCTTCAGAGGCTATAAATTACACAGAAGGAGATTGCCCATCCTTCTCCCACAGAGCCGCTGGTGGATTCAAACCATCTGCCTTTGTGTTGGCAGCACAGCTCCTTACCCTCTAGGCCACCAGAGCTGTGCACTAGTAGCTGAGAGGAAATGGGAATGGAACACTTTTTCTCCCTGGTTATTAGGAATCCTGATTGACCCCCGGGGGAGGCCCCAGGAAGTAGGGATGGTCAGCAGGTGTGGAGGGACCACGCTGGTCCCAGGACACTGGGTTCTGGGTAATTTTGCCTCCACTGTTTTAGCGTCTTTCCACGTGGCCTGCTGTTGGCTGTGGTGGGGTTGATCCTGACTTAGAGCGTCCTATGTGGGCCGAGCAGAGCTGCTCCCCAGGGCTCACAGGCTTACTGCTCAGAAGCAGATCTACAGGCCAGTGTTCTGAGGCACTTCTGGGTGGGTTTGAACCACTAACCTTTTGGCCACTATTGGGACACTTAACTGTTCTGTCCCTCCCAGGGTGATCTGTGAGGTGCTGACAGTGAAGTGTTTCTCAAAGTCTCTTCCCCAGGATCCCATGCAAAACATCCAGGGAGCCGTGGTCCCATGAGTTTGGACAGTTCAGCGGTCTCTGAGCCATAGATCGAATGAAAAAGCCAACCAACCAAACCTCGCAAACCCACTGCCGTTGTCCCGTCAACCCCACCAAATGCCAACCCCCTATCTGATCCTAAGGCTGTAAATCTTAGCAAGTAGTGACTGACTCCTCTTTCTCCCAAAGAGTGCCTGGTGGCTTTGAACTTCTGACCTTTAGGTTAGCGGTTCAACACTTAATCCATTGTGCCACCAGGATGTCTTAAGGAGGTCTGTGCAAAAGCATGTTGTTTATCAGGGTTGGGATGAGACTGAGAAAAACTGGATAAATTAGGTATACTGCATTGAAACAGATGAGGGACAGAACAGTTTAAAAGCAATAGATGATATGGTATTATGGATATGACAAGAGTCCAGAATGAAGGTTGCATAGTGGAGTGTACCTGGGGGGTGGGGTGGGGGGTGGTGTTGTATACCAGTGAAGGGATTTTTCTTTTACTTTGCAAGGAGAGTAGCAAGCTGTGTGGGAGGGGTGGGCAGGGAGAAAAGTGCAACCATGAATGAATGGAAATCCAAAATCTCTGTAAATGTTCATTAAGATAAAAAAAAATTAATTGAAAAAAACCAAAACCATGCTGTTTAAACAGCACATACTGATTCCACTTCCCCGGCCATGAACCCACAGTCCCCTTTGGAAAATGCTCTTCTCTCCTGACGACCTCCCACCCTCTTCTGCTCCCCCAGGTATAGTGGTCCCTAGTTCCTGTGTCCCTAACAGGTCTCATTCCTAGCCTTGGCCCCTCCCCCAGACATTACAGCAAATGCCATGGACATGTCCCCAAGCCCGATGCCAGCCTGAGGTAACATCACAAAGAACCCGACACACCTTGCGCTTTATACCTCCTGTCCTGGGTCTGACTAAGGTTTCCAACCCCTACAGGTATTTGAGATTCGATTCATGGCTTCTTGTTGTTTGGTGACAATGGGTCAGCTCTGTCTCCCAGGGCCCCTGTGAGTGTCGGAGTGAAGCCTGTCCTATCCTGCACTGTCCTCACTGGCCCTGTTCTGCTTGGACCCATTGCTGCAGGCTCTGCGTCACTGCATCCCCTTGAGGGTCTTTCCCTTTCCCACTGACGCTCTACCTGATGTCCCACAGACGTGATGTCCTTCTGTGGGAACTGAGCCCGCCTGGTAACATCCTCAAAGGACGTGAGATGAAGTCTCACCATTTGCACTTATGAGGACCTTTCTGGCTGCACTTGCTCCTCAGGCGGTGGTGGTGTTAGGGGCTGTCGAGTTGAGTACGACTCGTAGTGACCCTGTGACCAGCAGACGTGAAGCCTGTCCCGTCCTGTGCCATCCTGTGCCGCCCTCCACTCCTGAGCCCTTTGCTGTAGTCACAGTGTCAGTCTGTCTGGTTGGGGCCTTCCTCTGCTTTGCAGACCCTCTGCCTTTCCAAGCACTGTGTCCTTCTCCAAAGAATCGCCTCTCCCAGCACATGCCCAAAGTGTGTGAGATGAAGCCTCACCATCCTTGCCTCCAAGGAGCGCTCGGGCTGCACCTTCTCCAAGACAAAGCAGCTTGTTCTCTCGGCATTTCATGCATCGTCAGCACTCTTCTTGAACACCACAGCTGAAAGACACGGATCCTCCTCCTGTCATCCTTACTGTGCCAAGTGAAATAAAAACGAGGTCATCTGGTTGAAATGGCACCAGAGGTTGAGCGGACCACATCTCTGAGATCTGTCTTGATGGAAACATAAGCCCAGCTTTCCTCTAAGGCTGTTCTCCTTGACCAATGAAATCCTAACAGATGATACGAGCCAATCAGAGACGAGTTTCTTTTTCTTTGAAATTTGGTCAGTGAAAAGCCAGTCACTGTTCACAGGAGTATCTTTCTGTCTTCTGTTGGATGGTACCGGATTGGAGAATCTTCTGCTCGAGGAAACCTCACCTAATGGATTAGTTTTATTATTGACTCCATTTCTTCTGGCAGATGCAAACAGACCAGCTAGTACAGGATTGAACCGTGTCGTAGCTGGCTGTTGCTGGGTGCCAGGGAGTCGGTTCTAGCCCACAGCAGTCCTGCAGCCCAGAGTGGAGCTGCCGCCTTGAGTTCTCAAGGCCGAAGAGTACAGAAGCAGATGTTACATCTTTCCTTCTCCCTCAGGGCACCTGGGGGATTCAAACCACTTAGCTTTTGGTTAGCAGCCTTGCCTTTCAGCCTGGCCACCAGGACTCCTCTGTGCATTTGTAGCACATCTCAGTAGCCATTCTGTGGCTGGTCGCCGAGGTTCTGGGCAGCAAAGGGTTGATCTTTCCTGATGATGGACCCCAGGTGCGCAAGGTGAAGGCTCACCTTCTGTGCTTCTAAGGGGCGTTGTGATGATATGCTTCTACAATGGACTTGCTCTTCTATTTTGTTTTTTTATTTTGTTGTTGTTGTTGTTTTCTGTCCAAGAAACATTCTTCACTCATACCACCATTCTATTAATACTTCCATTTGGGGAGCTCTGGTTAGTAGTACGAGTTGTGCTGCCAACCCAAAGGCACATGGTTGGGGTCCACCATCTGCTCCACAGATGAAAGATGGGCAGTCTGCTCCAGTGCGGCTTATAGTATCTGAAAGTCCACTGAAGGGTCAGCTAGGATTTGGTTCCGACTCGACGGTACCCAACAACATAAACTTCCATTATAATGCCCTCTTCACCTTTTCTGTCCTTCCCTGTAGATGGTTGATTCTCTGAATGTCTAACCTTCTTTGTTATAAGCCCCTTAAGGCCAAAGTGCCATTAAAAAAAGTGCCTGTCTTTAGTTGTTTTCAGTGAACCATTCTTCTAGGTCGTATAGCCCTGGGGTGTCCACTTGCCATACAGAGGTAACTTGTGGTTGCTGTGAAGCTGAACACTGTGACACTGATGTGTCAAATGCGAGAATGGTTACCCATGGTGGACAGTGTCCGGTGGTGCTTCCCCATTAAAACAGGGTTGGAAGCAGGAGTGGCATCCACTTCCATAAATAGCTTGCCTCCGGAAACCCTATGAACCTGGAGAAAGGATGAAAGTCACGCACGCAAGTGTCGAGGACTCTCGTTCATAGGGTCGCTATGAGTCGCCTACGACTCGACGGCACTTAACAATAACAACAACAACAAGGCCAAAGTGTTAATATTATAAATTAAATTTTAGTCCTCTCTAGAGCTGCTGGCCACCTAGACGCTAAAGGCGTGTTGGATGCAACCCCCTTTGTAGTAAACTCGTTTCTGGACAGGCTGCAGGATGGGCCAATCATGGGTTCTCTTCTCTCAGTCCCATTCCAGATGCTGGCAAAGGAGAAGGTGAGGAAGAGGAGGAGGAAGACGGGGAGCTCCGTCTGCCAGCCGCCCCAAAGAATTGCCTCCCCCGCCAGGGCATCAGCATCCTGGAGAAGCTGGTCAGGACCTGCCCGGTGTGGCTGCAGCTGGGTCTGGACCGGATGCAGGCAGCGGAGATTCTGCAGCAGGAAGCGGCCGGGGTGAGCTGGGGTCTCTTCTGCTGTATGTCCACCAGTGAACCCGAGCTGGGGGTGGGATGGGGGGTGTGTGAGCCCACAAGCGCTGAGGTCCCCGTCTGCACAGCTGGTTTTATGCTTTCTTAGGATTGCCAATCCTTTTTCTAAAAAGAACCACCAAAACCCAACATTTTTATTGTGATTTGAATAAAAATTTAGAAAGCAAATTGATTTTCCCATCAACAGTTCATGTACATTGTATTACCTGACACTGATCACAGTCTTCACAATGGAAGAGCACATTTCCTATTCCTCCCCCTCCCCCGTCCCTTCCTGCTTTCTGAGCTTTGTTGCTGTTGAGTGTTGTTGAGTTGATGACGGTTCATGGCAGCCCTGTCAGCAGCAGACCAGAGCCTTGCGCTGTCTGATGTCCTTCTCCCAGTCCCCACTCCACTCACGTCCACTGTTGTGGTCACTTATGTTGGTCTATCCATGTTGCCAGGAGGGACGGGTCCTTGGAGAGGGACGCCATGCTTGGGAGGGTGGAGGGACAACGCAGGAGGGGAAGACCCTCTATGAGATGGATTGATTCAGTGACTGGGGTAATCGGGATGGGTGTGTCAGAGGCAGTGTGGTTGGCGCAGGATAGAGCAGGGTTTAGGGCTGTTGTGCATAGGGTCGCTATGAGTCGCAAACAACTCGACGGCACATAACACAACAGCAATCCTGTTGACGGTCTTCCTCTCTTTCTCTGGCCCATTACATTTCCCAGCATGCTGTCTGTTTCCAAGGACTAGCCCTCCTGGCTATAGTATGTATGTATGTAAGTATGTGAAGCCAAGTTCCCCCATCCTCGCCTCTAAGGAGCATTATGGTTGTCTCCTCCAGGACAAATGTGGTTGCTCTTTTGGCAATCCATGATACAGTCAGCGTTCTTTGCCAGCACCACAATTTAGGGGTGAATAATCCTTATTCAATTTTCACAAGTATATGAAGCCACTGAAAATACCATGCTTGAGTCAAGCACACCATAGTCTTTTTTATTTTATTTCATTATTTTTTTTGTGTGTACCATCAAATCAGAACTGACAGGTATAAATAAAGATGGTGAAAGTAAAAAAAAAAAAAAAAAGAACTGACAGGTACAGGAAGAGATTATTCCTTCTCCAGTAGAGCATCTGGTGGATTTGAACCGTGTACCTCTGAAATTGCAGTGCAGCTTCTTGCCACTAGGCCACCAGAGCTCACCCACACCATAGTCTTTAAACTGACATCCTTGCTCCTTAAAGAAGTCCCTAACAAGGGAGCGCTGTTGGCCTAGTGGCAAGAAGCTGTACTGCAGTCCCAGAGGTATGTGGTTCAAATCCACCAGATACTCTGCTGGGGAAGAAGGGACAATCTCCTCCTGTACCAGTCAGATCTGATTTGATGGTACACACAAAAAATAATAATAAAATAAAAAATAAAGTATTTATTTAAAAAAAAAGAAGTCCCTAACAGCAGATTTTCCCAATGCAAAATAGTTGGCATTTGCTTTTTTTTTTTTTTTTAATTTCTCAACTGCTTATACCATACTGTTGATTGTGGATCAAAGTAAATGAAATAATTTCCATTTCAGTCACTTTTCCATCTTTCCAGATGTTGCCTGTTGGCCTCCTGGGAAGGCTTTTAATTTTGTTGGGGTGTAATACTTTTAAATTTTCCCTTTCGGAAGGTCTGTGCTATTTGCATCATGTGGACTGTTGATGAGTCTTCTTCTAATCCTGATGCCACATTCTTCATGTAGTTCAGCTTCTCAGATTATTTGTTCAGCATGCAGATCAATAGGCGTGGAGAAAGAAGACAGCCCTGACAGACACCTCTCCTGATTTTAAACGCTGTCCTATTCGTTGATTTGTTCAAATGAGTTCTTCTTGGTCTGTATATTGACTTTGCATGAGCTACAATTAAGTGTCCTGGGATTCCCGTTATTGCCGTATTGCAGTGTTAGCCAGTGTTAGGATCCATGCATTCAAGTCCATTTGCATAATCAGTAAAACACAAATAAACATCTTTTTGGTATCCTCCACTTTGGATAAGATCCGTCTGATAAGAAAGATTTATGACCAAGATCCAGAAAGATCTGGGGACATCTCTGCTCTTTCTTATAAGATGATGATGGGTTGGAAGTGACTCAGTGGCAAATGGAGTTGGTTTAGTTTGTTGGCTGTCTGATGGTTCAGATCCATCCAGCAACTCCACTGAAGAAAAGCCCTGACCTTCAGCCCCAGTGAAGACTATGTCCTAGGACACTATACCAGGGGCTCTTCCACAGAATCAAAACCAAAGCCCTAAGCTCAGGCTCTGAAAGCAAGATGAGTCAGCTTTTACTCAAAGGATGCATCTTATTTCCATACCTTTTTAATGTGGAACAGATCATCCAGGCGGCTGGGCTTTTTGAGGAGGAAAGTGGCATCAGGATTGGAGGAAGACTCATCAACAACCTACATTATGGAGATGACACAACCCTGCTTGCTGAAACTGAGGAGGACCTGAGGCATTTGCTACAGAAGGTCAAGGACAGCAGCCTTCAATATGGATTGACACTCAACATCAACAAAACAAAGATTCTCATCACTGGGCCAATTGGCACCACCATCATGATAAACTGTGAAGAGATTGAGTTTATTAACAACTTCCATTTGCTTGGCTCCATAATTAACACTCTTGGTACTAACAGCCAGGAAGTCAAAGGATGAATTGTTTGGGGAAAGTCTGCTATCAAGAACCTCTCCAGAGTACTGAAGAGCAATGGCATCAGTCTGGAGACTAAGATGCCCCTGATTCAGGCCATGGTCTTTGCAGTTACTTACTATGTATCAGAAAGCTGGACAATGACTAGGGATGATAGGAGAATTGATGCCTTTTAGCTGTGGTACTGGAGAAGAGTATTGGATATACCATGGACTGGTAGAACAAGCAGGGTTGTCCTGGAGAGGGTAAAACCAGGCTGCTCCTTGGAGGCAAGGATTTTAAGCTCCATCTGACATACTCTGGGCATGTTGCAAGGAAGGACCAGTCCTTGGAGAAGGACGTCATGCTTGGGAGGGTGGAGGGACAGCGCAGGAGAGGAAGACCCTCGATGAGATGGATTGATTCGGTGACTGGGGTAAAGAGGGTAGTTGTGGGAGAGACGATAAGGCAGGCTCAGGATAGAACAGGGTTCAGGGCTGTTGTACATAGGGTCACTATGGATTACAAGCAACTTAACGGCACACGACAACACCAACAATACTGTTTGCACCATCTTATTTGATATAGCAATTTGGTACAACTCTGACATTCGTCAGGTTCTTAGTAGGAGCCATGGTGGCCAGGTGGTTGAAGCCTTCAACGTCTCACAGAAAGGTCAGTGGTTCGAACCCACCAGTCCTTCTGCAGGATGAAGATGTGGTGGTCTGCTCCTGTGAAGATTTACAGGCTTTGAAGCCATAGGGCAGTTCTACTCTGTACTCTCGGCTCCAACTCTGAGGCACACAAGAACAGCACGGTTGTTAATATTCCGGCGTATGGGTGAGCAACGGGGCGCACACAGAGTTCAGTTCACTTGTCTGAGGTCACACAGCTAGTAGGAGCAGAGGCTGCATGGGGAGGTTTTGGGGCACCTTCTCAGGTCCTCTAGGACCTCCTGGCCCCGCCTCTCCTGGCACCAACAAAAAACCGTGCTTCCTCCTGTCCCCAGGCAAAGGGCCCATTGATCCCAAGTATCTCTGTGGCCTTGACCATGTCTCCACTGACCTCGCTGCTCCCCCACCTCCCGCTCCTCACAGCCTCTTCTTCTGAAAAAGGGTTAGGGAACACGTTGGTCCATTTTTGATTTGTGTATATCCAGACACAAGACCATAAGAAAGCCTCCTTTGTTAACTCTGCACCCAGATGGAGTGGTGGTGTTGGAGTTTTGTAAAGAAATACTTTTGTTTTGATTTAGTTGTGGAGACAATATAAAGGGTCCCTGAGCTTTCCATCTTTGGAACAGACCTCTGAGGTTAGAGAATAGACCTCTGATGTCAGGGAATGAATTTGTACCCTGGGGTACATTGAAGCCCACACTTGATGCATTCCCTTGGTTTTCACCTCAGATCCTCTTTCTGTCCCAGACCACCACACTGTGCTGGTCATCAGGGCTACCTGGCTCCCTTTTGGCTACCTGGCTCCTCAGACTTTCTTTATTTGTGATGACCTTGACTGTTTGGAAAACTTATAATCAGGGATTTGGGTTGTTTGTTTTGTTTTCCTCAGCATTAATTACCATTGATTGTTGCAGTTCATGGGTAGACTGGGGTGGGGGGATGGGTTTGGCAGGAAATTGTTCTTGAGATAAAAATGTCATCTTGTTGTTGTTGTGTTGTTGTTGTGTTGTTGTTGTGATGTTCTGTAGAGTCCACTACAACTCATAGCTACCCTGTGAGTAATAACTCTGAACCCTGCCCTGTCCGAGCTAATCTCACTGCCTCTGACACACCTGCCTCCATTGCCAGTCACTTTGTCAATCCCTCTCATCCAATGTCTTCCTCTCCTGTACTGACCCTCCACCCTTCCAAACATGATGTCCTTCTTCAAGGACTGGACCCTCTTGGCAACATGCCCAGAGTATTTGAGATGAAGCTTCAAAATCCTTGCCTCCTAGGAGCAACCTGGTTTCATCCTCTCTAGGACTGACCTGTTTGTCCTCTTAGCAATCCATGGTGTGTTTAATACTCTTCTCCAGCCCCACAAGTCAAAGGCATCGATTCTTATGTCATCCTTACTCATTGTCCAGCTCTCAGAAGCAGGGTGAGCAATTGAGAAGACCATAGCTTGGATCACCTGCACCTTAATCTCTACAGCACCATCGTTGCTCTTCAGCACTCTGATGAGGTCTTGACAGCAGACTATCCCAAAGCAATACATCTTTTAATTTTCTGGTTGCTGGAGCCAAGAGTTTTGATTGTCGAGCCGAGCAGGCTAAAATTGTTATCACAGTCTCTTCTCCATCTATCATGATG